CAGGTTAACAACGTCCCCAGCAAATATACTTTATACAAATCAGAAAAGACCTGAAACCAGGGGAAAAGAAAGGGAAAGAAAGAAAAAAGAAAGAGAAAAAGAAATAGATAAAAACAAACAAAAACAGAACAAAACAAAACAAAAAAAAACCAGAATATGATCAAATATGATCAGTCTAGTGCATAGATCAGTGCCACACACTAAATTTTGGGCGTATTTTTGTCTGTTAGAAGAAAGTGCCTCCTAAATTTTTAAAGGAAGAAAGACTTATATATGTACAAAATAAGGGTTGATACAGTGAAGGGATGGAAGATGACTGTAAAGATGAAAATTATAAAAGATTTTATAAAAGGAATTGATAAGTTGTTTGAAAAAAGAAAGATTTAAAAAAAAAGAAAAACAAGGGAGAGAATGTGATCAGGCAGGAGACTAGAACAAAGCCATACACTAGTGATTTAGGGTATATTTTGATCTGTTAGAAGAAACTGTATCTCAAAATTTTAAAGAGAGAACAACTTTATATATATGCGAAAAATAAGGGTAACTACTATGAATGGATAAAATATGACTCTAAAAATGAAAAATAAAAAGTGTTTTTTTTAAAAAGTGATTGATACGATGTTGGTTGAAAAAGGGAAAAAGAAAAATTCAAAAAAAAAAAAACAGTTAAAAAAATTAACTTTGAAAAACTAATGAATTATGGTAAAAAAGCCATGAATTCTATGTGCAGTATTCCCCTAGCGCTGGAGTTCTCCAGTTCTCCTTGATCGGTAAACTTGGTCTTGGCTTGCTGGCTGTTTGTGCTGATCTTCTGGGGGAGGGGCCTTTTGCCGTGGTTCCCAAATGTGTTTGCCAGAGGTGGAATTGCCCCACCCTTGTCGGTCTGGGGTAAGCAATCTGCTCGGGTTTGCTCTCAGGAGCTTTTGTTCCCTGCAAGCTCTCGGTACAGCTTTGGAGGACCCGAGTGAAAATGGTGACCTCCCAATCTCTGCCCGGAGAGCTGAGAACTTGGGGCCCCGCTCCTCAGTGCGCCCCCAGAGAAAAGCAGTCACTCCCATCTCCCTGGTCTCCAGCCACACTCTGCGCTCACCCGGCCTGTGACTGAGTGTTTCTATCTCTGGCTCCCGACCCCGTGCGGAGTCTCCAAACCCAGCAGTTCCCTGCAGTGCGCTCCCGCGCCGCTCCTCCCGGGGGAGGAAGGGGAGTCTCCCCAGCTCTGCCACTTGTTGGGTCCCTGCTGGAGGAGCAGTGGCCTGACTGGGCTGCGGATCACAGTTTATGGCAACCCCATGCTGAGAGCCCGTGCCTCGGCTCCGTCTCTGCAGCCGGCCTCCCCGCTCTGATACCTAGGAGCTCTGATGCACTCAGGCACCCCCGGTCTTTCTGTGACCCCGAGGGTCCTGAGACCACACTGTCCCGCGAGGGTTCCACCCCCCGCTTAGCCACTGGAGCGACGTCCCTCAGCGGAGCCGACTTCTAAAAGTTCTGATTTTGTGCTCCACGACTCTATCACTTGCCAGAAGTGGCCGACAGAGGCCCCCTCCCCCGCCGTCTGTCCTCCCGAATATCGCCTCAGATTCACTTCTCCCCATGTCCTACCTTCCAGTAAGTGGTCGCTTCTCTGTTCAGAGAGTTGTTGCTACTCTCTTCTTCGATCTCCTGTTGAGTTTGTAGGTGTTCAGAATGGGGGCACCTGGGCGGCTCAGTTGGTTAGGCGACTGCCTTCGGCTCAGGTCATGATCCTGGAGTCCCGGGATCGAGTCCCGCGTCGGGCTCCCTGCTCAGCAGGGAGCCTGCTTCTCCCTCTGACCCTCCCCCTTCTCATGTTCTCTCTCTTTCTCTCTCTCAAATAAATAAATAGGTGTTCAGAATGGTTTGATCCCTATTCAGCTGAATTCCTGAGACTAGACGAAATCCAGGTCTCCTACTCCTCTGCCATCTTGCTCTGCCCCCCTGTCTGGTGTTTTTCTCATGACTAGAATAGAGTTATGAGTTTAGGGGAAAAGCTCCATAGACCTAAAGTGCCATTTTCAACATTTTATCACATCATATTAAAGGTACATTCTATCAACATGACTTATCACTTTTGATTTTATGTTTGTCAGCTTTCTCCAATTATTTTTACCACTTTCCATTATTGTACTCTTTGGAAGGAAGTGACTATGCACAGTTTACACTCAGAGTGTGGAGTTCTATTTCCCCTCCTTGAGGACAGAGTATCTACATAAATTATTTAGAATCCAAAGAGCTTATTTTAGTTAAGGTGTTTTTTGGTTCTAAAATTTCTATTGGTTCTTCTTTACATATTGTTTTTTTCCTGAGACTTTCTATCCATTTCTAGAATGTCCACTCTTAATAGATAGAGCATTTTCATAATAGCTGTTTGAGTCTTTCTCAAATAATTCTGCTATCTATGTCATCTTCTCTTTTGCTTCTGTTGACTGTCTTTTTTCACATGCATTGAGAATTTCCTGCTTCTTTGTATGCTGATGAATATTGGGTTGTATTGTGGGCATTTTGAATGACACTGGTTATTTTAAAATCTGTGGAGAATGTGGATATATTTTACGCAGGTAATCAGCCCTCTTAGATTCAGGCTGCAAGTTCTGAACAGCCTCTAGATGGTGGTTTCTATGTCAATTTTGTGTAGCCTTTGCCAAGCTGTTAGAATCTGTCTCAAATTTTTGCCACCCCTTAATAAAAGTCGGGAACTTGGGTGGCAGTCTATCCCAAGTTTAATTCTCAAATGTCTTTGTTAGGCCATTTAGGATTATGTCTATGTGTGCATGGCTTGTATATATTTCAGGAATTAATAAACCATGCTATGGGGTCAGCTGGCCAAGCTCTTCCCTCTTCACAATTTTTTCCAGTACTTTCTGGTTCTCTGGGACTCCCCTTTCCAGTCCTCTGGCCAGAAAGCTGGGGTTTGAGTTCCTTTGCTTTACTTTGTACATCTGCACTGACACCTCCATCCAAGGCCAAGCGGTGGTAGGACAAAGAGAAAAAGGCAGAAGTTACCTTGCCACCACAGGACCACAGTCTGTGGCAGCAGATGGTCCTGCTGCCACCACAGCAAAATTGCCTGGAGCTGGGTTCAAGAGAATAAAGAAAAAGATAAATAAAAATGGGATTTCCTCTATTTTCTCTGAGCATTGGGAGTTCTCTTTTCCACTCCTCCAGCTAGAACGTGAGGGCTTCTCCTGGAGCTCTCTCTGTCCCTGCCTTGGCACACACTTCCAGATTCTGTGATGCTTGGGTACAGAGCAGGCCCTACCAGAGGGAAAATGGAAAACTCACCCACCTGTCCAGTGTACTTAGAATGCTGGTCTTCCTCCCCAGTGCAACAGCTGGGGACTTTATTTTCAAAGTCCTCAAACAGTTGCCCTGTGAATTCTCTTTGGCTGCCATAGCTGCACTCAGCTGGGGAGCCAGGGTGGATGTGCTCACTCCATTTTACCTTAGCAGTTCTTGGTGCTAGCACAAGGGAACTCATGGTATCTGTAGAATGAGATCTCACATCCTTTTCCATCCCTGCCTCAGTTACTTCCACTCCCAACCCCACCCTGGAAGCAAATCTCTCCCTCTTCATATCCTGTAACACTTTTGCACATCCTAGTCTGTGACTTACTGTGATCGTGTGTATGTTCAGCCCCTGCCGTTTGTTCAAGGGCCAGTAACTGTGTCTTCTCAGTCTTCCTTTTTCTTGTCTCACTTTTTTAAATACAGAAGGTCCTCAGTAAGCACTTATGGGACACAACTGGTGCGTTGCAGGAAATTGGTTGCTTACCCAGTGGGCTCACTGTCTACAGAGGGCCAAGAACTACTTGCCTTCCCTGGAGTGTGTTTATTCCTAGAAATAGTCATCTCTCTTACGTCCCTTGACCCCTTGGCTTCCTCAATAAGTTTTCCTATTCTTTCTGGAATTCAGGTACAGTTTTGGAAGGACATTGCCAATAAAAGCCTCAATAATTACGCTTTTTAAGAAAATTTCCCCGGTCAACTGGAGAGCTTAGGGAAACACTGATAATTATACTCCTTTAGAGGATAATCATCATAAAGACTTTTAAAAGGCTTTGTACCTCACAAGCAAGCAAGAATGGCTGAGTAAAGTCCCCAGAGAAGCATGGAGCAGTACATGTAAGACTCCCTCAGCCTAACCACCTAGCAATTTAGCCACAGTACAGTCAGGCCTTACAAAGTGAAGATGTGCTCGTCTAATCTCCACACAGTGTAATGGGCAATGAAGTGGAGTCTTATCAAAATGCTAGACAAGCTCATCCTCTTCAATGTGGAGAGTTGCCATCCTCAACTAACTTCTCTTCTGGGCGGAGCTTGCAGCCTGGTGCCCATGAGATTATCAGACTGTCAATGTCGAGGAAGGTAACCTAATCTGTGGTGAGCTGAGTGAACTGTGCTTCCTCTCATGTCCGTTTCAGGAGGCCTGTGCGGCCCTGCTAGACCAGTGCCTACACTATGTGCAGTCCAGGAGCCCCTGCAGTGCCCCCGAGAAGACTGCAGGCAACGTGAGCGTGGGGTTCTCCCCTCTCTGTCCGCCCTCCACATCCACCACCTCTGGCCCCAGCCCGAGCCTCGTGATCGATGGGAGAAGTCTGGCCTACGCCCTTGAGAAAAACCTAGAGGACAAATTTCTCTTTCTCGCTAAGCAGTGCCGGTCAGTCCTTTGCTGTCGCTCGACACCTCTGCAGAAGAGTATGGTGGTGAAACTGGTCAGAAGCAAGCTCAAGGCCATGACTCTGGCCATAGGCAAGTATCCAGGCCAGCCAGGAGGGGCCCTACGTAAATGAGTAGCCCCCATCTTATGCAGCTGCTTCCTCTGGATGCATCCAGGACTTTCCACCCCTTCTATGCTATATTGTAAGATGAGAAAACACTTCCTTGCTCTGTTTTCTGTTTATAAAATCACACCCAATGCAAGAAAATAAGCAGCCTTTTCAAAATATAAAACATGGACTTGAAAACCATAAAATAATGTACAACAGTTATATCTATCTATCTATCGATATATAGCTGTATATAATTATACAATGGCAATTTAGGAAGATAGAACTTATACTATTTCTTGGGAGACAGGAGACTAGAGATCTGCTGTCCCAGGCAGCCTCTGCCATAGCAGAGCCTGGCATGCTAAGAATTATCTCAGAACACCTCAAAAAGAAGGCCCTTTGCAGGTGCTTCTGGTAACCATGAGCCAACTGGAGTGCAAGACTCCATAATACCTCAAGAACCCAGAGACTTGATGGTGATCAGAATCCCCATTGCCTCTTAGCCTTTGAACTTTACTGATTGTTCCAAGACAAGCATGTAATTAAATGAATCCATCATAAGCATGTGAGTAGTTGCTAAATCTTACAGCATTTCCTTAAGGACTGTGCATCTAATGGTGGTTTTTCCTTGCAGACTTTTGGCTTGGAGAGCCTTCTAAGGTCCTCTCCAGTGCTACCCAGTCCTCACCTACCTCCTCCCAAGGGCATCATCCCCACCCACTCTGGTTGGGGGTCCAATCTCCTGCCAGGTTCAGGGACTCAGCAGCACCATCTGCTGGTGAGGGCTGGTAAAGACTGCAGGTAGCCCAGGGAAAGGGGCGATCCCTTTGACCCCCAGATACCAAAAAGTTTGGTCTCCCCGAATATAGAATCCATACCTAGATGAGATTTGGTTCTGAAATAAAGGATCCTCACCAATAATAATTACAGTATTTTCTGCAAAGGGTCTGTGACAGTCTCACCTTGTTGATGTGGGGATTGCTACTCTCTCACATGGCACACTTCATTAGGACAAAGTTGAGTCTGGTAGAGCCTGGGTCTGAGGTGGGATGGTCTTAGTGTGGTTGTCATGGAGACAGCCCTGTACATCTTGAGGGCTGTGGTAACCACTAAGGGGAGTGAGATGAGCATAGATGTGAACACATGTTCAGCTCTGACTCCCTGGTCTGGGCTATGGGAAGGCCCCAGGGGTGAGCCCCTCCCAGGGGAGGCTGTCTCAGTTCCACCTTTGCCCTCAGGTGTCTGGAGTGTTCCTCAGAGCTCCCTTAGCAAGTGTTGTAGGTCACTGCTGAGGAGTGTACTGGCTGGGTACAGGCTCCTCTGAGCTCCTCTCTGTGGTGGCATGAGGACGATGCCCCCGGTAAGGCTGGTGTAACACATGAATGGATAAACCACATTTTCACAGCCTGGTCAGTGCCTGGGTCAGCCATGGAATCACTGGTGTATGGTATTAATTAAAAAAAAAAAAAAATGGAGGTAAAGTCTTAGTTGGTTAGAAAGAAAAGAAAAAACAAAATAGAATCTCAAAAGGGAAAGGGAAAGTAATGACCCATCAGAACTTTAGCTCATTTCTTTGACCATGAGTGAAAGCACTGATGGCTAGGTGTCCCAGGGGTCCAGGAGTTAATAACGTAGAGAACACACCATATCTCACTTTGATTGGGACATTCTGGGAAAAGCTGCAGAGATTGTTAATGACTTCACAGAATTTCAATTTCACAAATACTGACTGATCACTCATGTTGGGCCCAGTGCAAAAAAAAGAATAGAAAAATCACAGGACAGAGACATCCTATAGCCATTTTACGAATCACTCTGACTTGTATATCTGCACTTTTTGCGTATTTGAAACTTGGGAGTACTCTGTGATTTGGGCCCTTCTGCTGTCCTATTCCTGAGTGACAATGACTTTAAGTCTCTGCTTGCTTTTCCCCGAAGGTGATGAGATCTCTGACCTATGTCTTATGTTCTTAACCATTTTCTATCAGCAGCTTGACTGAATAAATAGAAGTTTTTCTTTATCACATCTTTAGAGGGCCCAAAGGTAAGCACACTAGCTAATAAGCTAGCTCGTGGTAATCAGTGTACAAAAAGGACTCTAGAGTTTGCTGGGCAGAATTTAACCTCCTTTGTTCAGTTTAGAAAGCTGCTTGTGTGAGCATGAATTAGAATAGCCTTTACTGATATGGACTACATGTGATAAAGGCTAGAGCTCAGTAAGTAATAACAATGATGATGATAGAATCTTTATTGTGCCAGACACCCTGTTAAGGGCTCTCTTTATAGGTATATGAGCCAATAATGTAGAGTGAATACTAAACAAAGTGGTAACCATGCTAGCCAGCTTTCTGAAACATCTCTTGATGTGACTGGCAGTTCCAAACCTCACACCATGTTTATTCTGACTGCTTAACTCAGTTTTCCCAGGGCAGACTCTATGCTGCCTCTTCCTCACTCATCCCCATGACCCTTTCACAGGACTCAGCTCAGTAGGGACCCCAGGAAGATCCGTCAAGCCGTTTGATTCTGTGCATCTCAACTCAAACGATTCTGTTTCTAGGAGATGGAGCCAATGATGTCAGCATGATCCAGGTGGCAGATGTGGGTGTGGGAATCTCAGGCCAGGAGGGCATGCAGGTAAAGACCCATCAGGGCTATCCTATGTGACCAAGTGGCCCACTGTCATACCTTGCCATGGGTTTTGTCCAACAAAGCTAAAATAAAGGGTTGACCTTCAATGCAACGTGATGCTCACCTTTTACTAAGCCGTAGTAGAAGATAAGGTAGAGGTGGCTAGTTCTTCATATTTATGAAGCAGTAAATAGCTTTGCCTAGGTCTATAAGTATATTTTTGTGAAATAAGTGGAACAGAGTGAGGCAAGGTGAGTCATCACCTTCTCTCTGGCTATTTATGGCTCATCCTTGGAAGAAGTCATGTTTTACTGTTCCATTTGAAAAAAAAAATGACTCTGCTGTAGGACTGTTGGAATCTGGTATCACTATAAAAAATGGAATGTAGCCATCTTGACTCACATGAAAATTTATCTCTGCCTTTTTCATTTGTCACTATGTTGGTTCTTAGCATGTGATTCAGATGCTGAACAACTGAGTTAATTAAAACTAACTTTCTTCTGGATATAGTATCACAACAATTTCCAACATTTGATTAACTTTGAATCATGACATTTTTTAACTTGGTGGAGACCTTAGAGAACAACGTATCCAGTTTCCTTCTCCTAAAAATCCAGATGTTGGTCACCATTTAGTCATTGATTGAGTTATTCATTAATGCAATCAGTAATTATTCAGTGAACACTTGTATGTGCCAGACACTTGTATGTGTCATTAATTTTCTTACCTGACATTAAAATAAAAGTAAGATGGAAAGTTCCAAGCTAGAAACACAGTAGTTCCTCTTGGACCCATCCTCAGCATGTACCTTACTCTCCTCCTGTCCTCAGCTGATCCGTGTCACTGTGTTATGTTACTTCTGTGGTTTTAATTCTTTCATGAAATGGAAAATACAGTGTAAGGTTGGACTCATCCCTGCCTTTTTTTTAAAGATTTTATGTATTTATTTGACAGAGAAAGAAGAGAGCACAAGTAGGCAGAGAGGCAGGCAGAGGGCGCAGGCTCCCTGCTGAGCAGAGAGACCGATGCAGGGCTCCATCCCAGGACCCTGGGATCATGACCTGAGCCGAAGGCAGACACTTGACCAACTGAGTCACCAGGCGCCCCTAATCCCTGCCTTTTAATGCCGTGTACATGGGGAGTAAATGGATGAACAAAACTGTTGGTTCATTCTAATGTTTTCATCATCATCTCCACTGTACCCGTTTCCTATAGTGAAAAGCTGACCAGGGCAGTGCCTGTAAATAGCATATCCAGAGAAATGCACCAAGTAAATACATTTTGTATGAAAGACTCTCAGGTTTGTGGATGGGGAGGGGACTGAACTACCACTACTGCTCGCATCCTCAAGCCAGGGGCCAGTGCAGATATATACTTCAAGCCATGCGAGAAATGATGGCAACAGCCAAATGATAGGGAACATACTGAGATGAAGCTTTGAGTGAGCATGACTTCCAGGTAGGATGTAGTTGGATGCTTCTGCATTTATTTAAAGCTACACTTCTAATTGAGGATATGTTATGTAAGATGATGGTAAGGCCTGATACCTTTTCTCACTGTTCAAGTGCTCAGGTTCCCAGGGAATATTTTCCCTGCTTGCATTTTAGTCAGTCCAGTAAGCAAAGGTGAGTCCTTTGGAAGATGGACTTTGTGGGATGCTGTGTTAACACGGATACTAGGGATCTGAGCAGAGCCATCAGGAATGAGTGAGGGTGTTTGGAGCTCCCCAGCTTAGCCAAGGTGTGAAGCTTATCTCAGTTTGGCCAAGGAGATCCTGCATCTCTCAGAATCTTGGTCTTCATGGGGTCATCTGGTCCATTGTGTTTATTGAGCACCCGATGGGGCCAACCACTGAGTGGGAACTCAGGGTGTACACGGTGATCACATCTACTATCCTGGCTCTCATGGAATGTCCAGAAAAGTTGGGAAGATAGATACATATTTTAAATGTACACAAATAGTCACAATTGTAATAAATGCTATCAAAGAGAAACACTGGTTTTGGTGTTGAGTATTTCACAGGAAGATCTAACGTAGCTGGGAGCATTTTGGAAGGCCACCTTGACAGAGGGACAAAGAGTGGATTCGGGGCCTAAATTTGGAGGTGGGAAGGAGTGGCAGAAGGCTGGAAAGGAGTACACAAAGTGTCAGTGTTGACAGGAAGAGGTATAGAAACAGTATTTGCTTTGAAATCCTTAACTTTGGTTTAGAAAGCAGACATTTGAAGGCTTCACACTTTTCTTTTTTTTTTAAATAATTTTTATTGTTATGTTAATCACCATACATTACATCATTAGTTTTTGATGTAGTGTTCCATGATTCATTGTTTGTGCATAACACCCAGTGCTCCAAGCAGAGTGTGCCCTCTTTAATACCCGTCACCAGGCTAACCCATCCCCCCACCGCCCTCCCCTCTAGAACCCTCAGTTTGTTTTTCAGAGTCCATCGTCTCTAATGGTTCGTCTCCCCCTCCGACTTACTCCCCTTCATTCTTCCCCTCCTGCTATCTTCCTCTTCTTAGGCTTCACAGTTTTCTGTCATGTATAATGACATTATTCCGTTTCACCTAAGGGACCACATCAAGTGTGATCTGTCTCTTCAAGGAGTTATTTGACTAGAGGGAGATCAGTTGAGTTTCAAAAGCTGACTTACATTTTTTTGTAGAACAATCCTCCAAAAATAAGCAGAAATCTGTTTCCCTCACATTTTCTTTGACTTTTTTTCCAAATAGAGAAATTCATTATATGGTGGGTTCTAAGTTATTCTGGGTACAAAAGGTATCATTTTGATGGCATTTGTCTGGCCCACTTAGTTTAATTGTATAGAGTACGATACTCAGTGAAGTGAGGGGACAATTTGACCCCCCGTCATCTTTCCTTTCCATGGAGGAAACCTGCTGTCCGCACTCCCTTCTGAGTGGAATGGACACCTGTTGCCTTTTTGCAGCTTCCTGGATTTGGGTTATGTGAAGGCCAGCAGAGCCGTGGGCTTGGTCTTGCTTATCATCTGTGGCTCCTGAGGAGAAGAACCCAAAACACACCACTCAAGATGGCCAACTGCCTGTCTCTGATTCATACAAAAGGGAAGCTTTGGTTCATCTTTGGGTTGAGATCCCAATATGAATAAAACATCAGAGGGTGGAGAATAGTAGGGAAACTGTACATCTCTGGGTTTTTGTTTTTGTTTTTTGCTTGTTAAAGTAATAATGGGAAGACAATGGGGCACCTGGGTGGCTCAGTCAGTTAAGCCTCTGCCTTTGCTCAGGTCATGATCCCAGGGTCCTGGGATGGAGCCCCGTGTCAGGCTCCCTGCTCAGTGGGGAACCTGCTTCTCCCTCTTCTCCCCTCTTGTTATCTCTGTCTCTCTTTCTCAAATAAATAAATAAAATCTTTAAAAAAATGGGAAAACAAAAGCTTTTAAAAATCAATTACATATTTTCAAAATCTTAAATGAGTTCTATAAAATGATATCCTTGAACTAGAATGCTTGTTGAGATTGATTGATTTTTTTTTAATTGAAGGAGATAATAAGGGAAACAGGGATAAAGTAAGCCCTGGCCAGTCACACGCACATTGTGTATGAAACATGCCTTGTATTTGGGGGAGATAAGACAGACCTTAGATGGAATAAGATGTCACCAATAACAGGGACTTCTTTCCCTTTCAAGGCAGTGATGGCCAGTGACTTTGCAGTGCCAAGATTCCGATACCTTGAGAGACTCTTAATTGTTCACGGACATTGGTGCTATTCCCGACTTGCCAACATGGTGCTGTACTTCTTCTACAAGAATACAGTAGGTATTTGACACTTCTCGTTTCTAGAGTTTTTGAAGCAAAAAGCCTGGGCTGAGATTTATTGGACCATCCGCTGAGTGTAGCCATCTGGCCATCCCAGGGCTTCCTGTGGGTTCTGTCCTCCTTGGCCTTTGTGAACTTACCCCAGGCCTGGCCCCCTATAGGCTCAGAAGTCTAGCTCACAGGCACATAAAGGTAACTGCACCTCTAAGGGAGAAAGCTATAGAAACAGAGAGATCAAACAAGAATGTCCACTTAGTGCTTTATAATAAGAAGTGGGGGAATCATGAATTACAGTGGTCTGTACAAGGTCACACAGCTAGTGAGTGAGTAGTCAAGGCTGCGTGTAACCCCAGCTCATTGGACTCCCAACACTTAACCATTCTGTTAATGTGTTTCCTGGGAGCAGACTGCTGAGGTTATCCATAGACAGGAATCCTCTAGAGCAGACAGGCCAAACCAGGAATAAGCAGGAGTGCAGTGCCAGTGCTGGAATCAGAATGGTAACAGTCATGCTGTGATCCCAATACTGAATGGCCTCTGAGGAAACATACCCACACTGGGCCAGGTGTGTGAGTCCCCGGGTCAGGACGCGGGTGTAGGGCCCAAGGAACAGGGCCACCAGCAGGGCCTGGCCACACTTTCTCCAGTGCTGGCAGGGCAGATGTGCTCCATTCTGGCCAGCTCATTCTATAATTGACCCTCCAGTTAGGTCACGCCCAGGCCTGGCTGGCTGATTACAGTTCTGTCTCTCCAGAGACTCTCATCCAGGGCCCTGCTCCTTTTCATTTTGATCCTAATGTTTAACTCTTAGTTCCTTTATTACTAAGTCCTTGGCAGACAGGGGTCCTCCTCCGTAGCCCTCCAGCATGAATGCCATGGCCATTTTAGAGCCCTGCTCTACTCATAGACATTTGCTGAGTTGACTTATTGCTCTTGTCTCTATAAAAGCCTGTGGCTGAATGTACAAACAAGGAGACAAAATAAATAAACTCTTGGGGTAAGTGATCTTTCAGGGTAGTCCCACAAATCTGCCACATTGGATGCCACAATTCCAGTGTCAAGATCATCCTATACTCTTCTAAAAAAGAACAAAATACAATAAATTAAAAGATATATATATTTTTCTAATTACATTAAAAAATTTCCATGCTAACTTGAAACTGCCATCAGTGTACTTCTTGTTCATGTTCTTGTTTGTTCTGGAGATTTAGACCTATCTACTTTTTCCAACCCTCTTGCCCCCCTTATCTTCACCCATTTTTCAAAATGTTTTCTAGTAAATGAATACGGATACTCAGGACCAATCATGGCATGTCCAGTTTGATCAGTTGCGTCCTGGAAATTAATTCTGATTAGGTTGTGCCTGGGATTCTGTCCAAGGAAATCTGTGCCATGCTGCCCTTGGCCTTGGCCAGTTACTCCCTGCTCTCTCCCATCCATGTGGCATTGCATCCCCAGAGCTGAGGCCGCCAAGCATATACTTGCAAATCTAGAGGTTCCCAGTTCCCAAAGAGGTGGTTGGGTGCTTGAGTATAGATGAGTGGGGCTGGGCAGGTGGAACCCCAGCTCGGTTTCTGTCATTAATTTCTGTACAATCTTGAGCAAGTTATTTGCTTTCTAGGGATTTTGTTTCCTTTATTTGAAAACAAAACATGAGAGTTGAGCTCTGCTCTCCATAATTCCTCATGGAAATTTCTCAGGAGGGAATTCAGCATTTCAGTTGCAAATGAGTGCCAGAGTGGCCACCTGAATGGGCACAGCCTCCTGCCTGTCATGATGAATCTGTCCTCATGGAGGGGACAAAAGGAGAAAGGGATATCTGTCTTTATTCCATATAAGATGCAGGGCCTCTGTTAACAAGCACTTAACCTAGTTGAGAAGTGCAAGGATAATTACCCTGCCTCCCAAACTGAGAAATTCATCAGTTTTAGGAGTAAGTTGGTCTTCCTTTCCAATAAAGAACAGAGAAGAAAAGTTTCCATAGCAACAGTAGTTTGGGAAGAAGGCTTTTTGGTACTACGAGAAAAAAATGTCAATTATCTAAGTACTTTTCCTCCTCTTTCTCTTGACTCCAGTTGTTCACTGATGACTCATTAGGCTGAGCCTATGGGGGTGGGTGAGAGAAAGCCGTGGGAGTGAGAAGGGAAGAAAGTCAATGAAAAACCCAAGTTTGTCAGTTTTCAGTGTGGAAGAGAAAAGTTGCACTAAGTCATAGATTGAAACAAGACTTGGAGGATATGTGTCATTGTTTCCTGATCTTCAGACCAAGCCATTTTCAGGTCCAGAAACTAAAGCTCAGAGAAGGTAACTCAAGGTCTGAAAGATAGATAGTGGCAGCTCCAGAACCAAAACCTAGGCCATTACCTGTGGTTCCCTGCAGAGAATGTTCTTCCACCTGGGGGTCTCTGCCCTCCAGGCCAAGACCCACAAATGGTTTGAACAGATTGGCTTTATTACTCATACAATGACCATAGTGAAGTCATTTAACATCTTGGACCTGAGTTTCCTATTCTCTGAATGTAGTAAGCACACTGGCCCTCAGCGAAAATAGCTGTACTGCTAACTGAAACAATAAATCATAAGTACCTATAGTGTACAAGGAGACCTCGTGAGTACTTTAAATGCATAAGTTCATTAATCCTCACAACAACCCATAGCTAACTAAGTATCGTTGGGTACTAGGTACCGTTGGGTACCCATAGCTAAGTACCATTTCATAGACAAGGACACTGAGGCAGAAAGGGGTTAAATGATCTATGCTAAATTATACAGCTGATAGTGTAAATGATTTGCCGTTGCTAAATTGCCATGCCCCCATGTAAATGCACTCAAGCCACTGATGTTCAGTGATCAAGTAATACAGGGAAGAGATCCACCCAACTTGCCCTACTGAGGAGGGGCTTGAAGAGGCTGTTCAAGCTCCCTGACCCTCACTTCCCTGTTCAGCAAAGTGGGGGTAGTAGCTATAAGAACCAGTGACCATACGTATCCCTCACCTGCCAGCAGAGTGCCTGGTGGATATCTGGGCTTGCTCGAGGCAGCAATGTTGATATCATCATCGACTTTGTTGCTGTGCTTGTTTGTGTCCTTCCTGCCATGGGAGTCAGGAATTGCCCACTGTTCCTCATCAGAAAGGGTACGTGACTAAGGAGAGAGGCAAGATCTGGGATGTAGAATAGGTAGGTTTGGTTTAGGATCACAGAGGACAGCTACTAGGGAAGAAGATGTGTGAGCAACCCTAGACCCTGCTGGACCTTTATGGGGAATTTCTGTACTCAACTGGACCTCATCTCCTCAGCTGGCTGTGGGAACAAGATACAAAGAGTTTGTCCTGTGAAGATAAGGGACTGTCAGGAAGGGCTTAGCCAGCACTTTCATAGGTGCTCAATAAATGCTGTTCCATCCAATCTGCCATTTCTTGAAGGCTGGTACCAGCATCATCTCTCCATGGGCTGGCCTTGGGAATTCTCATCTCCTATTGCCAGTCCTTTATGCTCAGGGAAATGAGGAGGGAGAGAGAGGACAACAAGATTAGGGCTGTCTTTGAAGGAAATTTCTGCCTGTAAATTCAATCTTTATAGTCAAATTCTACAAAACCTTTAGATCCCTTGGATGTGAATCTGCAAGGACAGCTAAGAATTGCTTGTCCCTGTTCTTCCTTTCTTGATTTCAGATGTTCGTGGGCCTCCTGTTTTGGTTCCAGTTTTACTGTGGCTTCTCTGCATCTGCCATGATTGACCAGTGGTATCTGATCTTCTTTAATCTGCTCTTCTCGTCACTTCCCCAGCTCGTGACTGGGGTGCTGGACAAGGACGTGCCAGCTGACGTGCTGTTGACTGAACCACAGCTCTATAAGAGTGGCCAGAACATGGAGGTGAGGCTCTCCTCCTGCCCCCACCTCCTATGTCTTGGCCCTCCCACTCTCCACATTCACCTTACAGAAAGTGCAAGTCTCCATGCCTCCCTTTAAATGGACACCCTCGGAGAAATCGTTAAAATTTTGGAAAATGACCCATAGGAGGTAAAAAATGTATTCTGTCTCCTTGATTGTATTAAGGTTATTGGAGTGATGGTATCCTGGTATGTGCATCTGTCCAAACCCATCCAGATGTGTACATTAGATGTGTGCAGTTTTTGTGTACCAATTTACCTCACTAAAAAAAAGAGGGAGATTAATAGAAAAAGTATAATGGCATGAAAAGTCTCTACACCAACAGTCTCCAGGAGCCTAAGGAAAGTCCACTTGGAATCGAAGTCAGGATCTTGTGGATTGCTGCCTCCTGAGCAGGGATTTTTCTAAAGCAATCCTCTCAAAATGTGATTTATTTTGAATGTGAATTAACCAGAAGATAAACCCTTGGGGAAACCATTGAAAGAATAAGTGAATACAAACAGATATAAATACATGTTTACATCAACACACCACATAGATTGACATGCTAATTACCAGCTATTCCTACCAGCATTTAAAGTTGGCCCTCTAAGTGCTTCTCTTTGCTAGTTGGAATTACTGTATGTGTGCAAAGGGAAAGGAGCTCCCTATCTCTTACAGTAGTCTCGAATTTGTTTACTTTTGAGTTGGCTTCCCAGGTCACCTTCATTGACACTGGGTTCCCTCTGAGGTAGGCAGCGGGGTGGGGCTGTGGGATGGGAGCAACTGAGGTCAGGCAGATGAGGAGAGCCTCTGCTTGTTACCCATCACTGGAGGAATGCCTGTACTCAGCTTGGCCTCCTGTCCTTGGCCAGGGGCTGGGGCTGGCCAAGGGAACAAGACACAAGGAGTTTGTCCTGTGGAGCTAGGGGACTGAAAGAGGGACCTAGCCAGCACTTTCTTAAGTGCTCAGTAAATGCTCATCCAGTCTACATTTCCTGCAGGCCAGTACCAGCCCCAGCTGCTTAGGAGTTCAGAGTCAAATACAAATTTGGTTACCCAGTAAATGAAGGCTTGATCAGTCCATATCAAGGTCATTTTTGCCCTCAATGTACAGATTTTTTATTTTAATATTAAACACTTCCATCACCTAATTTTAAAAGACTTACTTTTAAGAAACATTCTAGGGGACCCACCAACAAAAGGCAGCAACACCCTGACAAAGTAGGAGTAGAAGAACTCAGATTAGAGCAAGATGTCCAGAATTTGAGGTGCCCTGCCTACTGTAGGAAAATGCTCCCTCAGGGACGCCTGGGTGGCTCAGTCTGTTAAGTGTCCAACTTGTGATTTTGGCTCAGGTCATGATCTCGGGGTGGTGAGATCAAGCCCCACGTTGGGCTCCATCCTCAGCGGGGAGTCTGCTTGAGCTTCTCTCCCTCTGTCCCTCCCCCTGCTCTTTCTCTGTCTCTCTCAAATAAATAAATCTTTTTTTAAAAAATGCTCCCTCATAGGATTTAAGAAGTGGTTTTATGTGTCTGCTGTTGACCTAGAACTAGAGTAGCTTGTCTTGTGAACAGATGCTCTGAATGATTGACTCAGCTGCAGATGGTGCCTCTGCAGACGATCGTGTGGTGTTTGTACCCCAGCCATCTGGGACCTCAACTCACCAAAGTCCTGACTTAGCAAGTTGCTCTGGGGTGCTTATCTTGTACATTGATGGCCCTGTAGCTACTGGAAGACATTGTTTGAAGAAATGCTTACATCCCTATAATTTCTGTGCTTGTTTCTGTGTCTCAGGAGTATCGGCCACGCACGTTCTGGATAAACATGGCTGATGCTGCCTTCCAGAGCCTGGTTTGTTTTTTCATTCCTTACCTGGTAAGTTGGCACCTGGCACAGTCTTTCTCACTGGCTTCATCCAGCGACCCACAGACACAAGACACTACTGTCTTTCAGGCCTGCTACGACTCAGACACAGATGTGTTTACCTGGGGAACCCCCATCACCGCCATTGCACTGTTCACCTTCCTTCTGCACCTGGGTATTGAAACCAAGACCTGGGTAAGAGCTGTGGGCATGATCCCAGGGGTGCTGATGCTGTGGGCCCCACACTCCCAGGCAGGTTCCATGACATCTAGAAGATCTCTGGGCAGACAGGTCACTACAAAGCCAGCCTCACCGTGGAGAAGAAAAACCAATACGCGGGCCCACCACATGTATTGGAACCCCTGGTGTGGGAACTGCCGCACCCTGACTGGTGTCTTCACCTGGGCAGCCCTTAGCTCCTTCCTGCCCGCTCTGCTCTCCTCCTCTACCTCACACCCCCCTTTCCCTCTCTCTCTCCTTCCTATGCCTGACTTCCATCTCCCTGACCGTGCCCAGGCTGGTCCACAGATGCCAAAGCCTTCATCAAGCCCCCCAGCTGCCCATGCCACAGACCCATGTTTTCACTAAGCCCTTAGAACAGCTACCCACTGATGGATGACCAGTGCATTTCTCTTGAAATAAATGCCCCATTTTTCTCTTTCCCCCTTAGACCTGGCTCAACTGGATAGCTTGCGGCTTCAGTATCCTTCTGTTTTTCACTGTGGCTTTGATTTACAATGCTTCTTGTGCGACGTGTTATCCTCCGTCCAACCCTTATTGGACTATGCAGACATTATTAGGCGACCCCGTGTTTTACTTGACTTGTCTCATAGCACCTGTCGCTGCACTGCTTCCCAGGTGGGTATCAGGGACAGTGTCCCTCAGGTCCTAAACGAGCTCTGAGAGCATTCTCAGGCCTGTGTTTTTCACAGAAGACTCAAAGGCACCACCCACAGATGACTGTTTTTTATATGCTTTCCAGATTGTTTTTCAAAGCCATGCAGGGGAGTCTTTTCCCCACCCAACTTCAACTGGGGCGCCAGCTGGCCAAGAGGTCCCCCAAGAAACTCATTGCTCCCAAAGAGACCTTTGCTCAGGGACACCTCCCAGGAGAACCCAGAACTGAGTCATCAGAACAGAAGAGCATCAGTACCTCTAGACACCTCTCCCAGGACTGCACCTCACAGGCATCTTGGCATGTACAGCGACCAGCCTGCTCCCCAGAGGCTAGTGGGGAGCCCAGTGTGGTGGACATGAATGTGACTTTAAGGGAAAACATTCTGCTGGAAGGACTGAGCAGTCAGGCTCCAGGGTCCTCCATGCCAAGGGAGGCTATCCTAGAAGGGTGTCCTGGGGACTCCAAGATGAAACACACCAGCACCAGCAGGGCAGCCCCCCTGTCATCCATTTTCAACCTGCCCCGGTTCAGCTCCCTCAACTGGATTTCCTCCCTCTCGCTGGTCAGTGGGCTGGGAAGTGTCTTACAGTTCTCTCGAAGTAGTTTACAGATGGACAAGCAGGACAGTGAGTTCTTGCCCAGCCCACCCCAGCCAGACCAGGATCTGTGTGGCTTAAGCGGGCAGGGCACTGACTACTTCTAGGAGCATCTTCCAGGGACTGCAGTGGATGGAAGTAGCAGTGAAAACCTTGAAATGGCCTCTTCTTTTTTATAACTTAGATGTTAATATTATTTATGTTTATTATTTGCACAGAAGAGTTCTAGTGAGATGTATTTTATGTTTCCAAGGCTAACACGGGAAATGAAAGGTACCAAAAAAGAAAGTTTATTTTTTAAAAGTTCTAAATAGAATATATTGAAAAGAGAAATAAGAGCTTTAACGTATATGAAAGTTAAAAGAAGGGTAACACTTGAAAAGTGTGTTTAGATTTATTTTTTCATCTCATTTTATAAGAAAATGCAATATGATTGATTTTCTTCAACATGCATGACCTTGGCTTTCCCCACCTGATAATGTGCGTATGAGCTCAGTGAATCCCATGTGGGTGTGGACAGCAGTGAGGGGAGATGAGAGGGCAAGCGTGCAACTTCTCTGTCCTTGTCCCCTGTTCCCCCACCCTGCCTCCGCCGGCCTGGGAGAGCTTGGCTCTGCTTCACCCAGAAAAGGGAAAGAGAGAATGCATGCATGGAGTTCATCCCAATGTTGAAATCTAGGCAGGCATTCTGTAAAGATCACCTTGTAGGTATTACTGTCCCTCGGTAGGGTCTTGCCTGTCAAAATCATAACAAGCAATAAACAACCTTCACTTTGCAAAGAGAATGTGTCCTGTTGCCACCGTTGTGTGAAGTTATTAATATGTGACCTAACAGCATGTTCTGAGTACCACAGGGCACTTCCTCATGGCAAGTCCTTTTAAACACCATGAAGGATACAGCTGGGTACCATGCAAGCTGCACACTGTAACGCTATGACACCAGGTTACATCACGGCTCCATACACCAGGCTACCAGCCCCACAAGACCCTTCCTGCCAAGAGGCTAGGCTTTTTAAGTGTGTATCTTTAGACATTTGTCTTATGAGTCATTATTTCTGTCCCTCTAAACAGAGGGAAAGGATGGGAAAAAATTTGAAATATCGAAGGCAATTAATCATATATCATTTCCTCTGCCGAGACCTTTCTTTGCACTTAAAAAAAATTTTTTTTTATTTAAACTCAACTTAGTTAACATATAGTGTATTATTAGTTTCAGGGGTAGAATTTAGTGATTCATCAGTTGCGTATAACACCCAGTGCTCATCACATCATGTGCCCTCCTTAATGCCCATCACCCAATTACCCCATCCCACCACCCACCTCCCCTCCAGAAACCCTCAGTTTGTTTCCTATAGTTAAGAGTCTCTTATGGTTTGCTTCCCTCTGTTTTGATCATATTTTTCCTTCCCTTCCCCTATGTTCATCTGTTTTGTTTCTTAAATTCCACATATGAGTGAAATCATATGGTGTTTGTCTTTCTTTGACTGACTTATTTCGCTTAGCATAATACCCTCTAGTTCCATCCACATTGTGGTAAATGGCAAGATTTCTTTTTGATGGCTGAGTAATATTCCATTGTATATATACACATCTGTATCCATTCATCTGTCAATGGACATCTGGGCTCTTTCCATATTTTGGACATTTTAGACACTGGGGTGCATGCACCCCTTCGAATCACTATTTTTGAATGTTTTGGATAAATACCCAGTAGTGCAATTGCTGGGTCCTAGGGTAGTTCTATTTTTAACTTTTTGAGGAACCTCCATACTGTTTTCCAGAGTGGCTGCACCAGTTTGCATTCCCACCAACAGTGTAGGAGGGTTCCCCTTTCTCCACATCCTCACCAACATCTGAGTTGTTAATATTAGCCATTCTGACTGGTGTGAAGTGGTATCATTGTGGTTTTGATTTGTATTTCCCTGATGATAAGTGTTGTTGAGCATTTTTTCATGTCTGTTAGCCATTTGTATGTCTTCATTGGAGAAATGTCTGTTCATGTTTTCTGTCCATTGACTGGATTTTTTTGTTTTTTGGGTGTTCAGGTTGATAAATTCTTTATAGATTTTGGATACTGGCCTTTTATCTGATATGTCATTTGTGAATATCTTCTCCCATTCCATAGGTTAACTTTTGGGTTTTTTTTGACTGTTTCCTTTGCTGTGTAAAAGCCTTTTATCCTGATGAAGTCCCAATAGTTCATTTATGCTTTTGTTTCCCTTGCCTTTGGAGATGTGTCTAGCAAGAAGTTGCTGTGGCCAAGACCAGAGAAGTTGCTGTCTGTGTTTTCCTCTAGGATTCTGATGGATTCCTGTCTCACATTTAGGTCCTTCATCCCTTTTGAGTTTATTTTTGTGAATGGTGTAAAAGAGTGGTCCAGTTTCATTCTTCTGAATATGGCTGTCCAATTTTTCCAACACCATTTGTTGAAGAGACTGTCTTTTTTCTATTGACTGTTCTTCCCTGCTCTGTCAAAGTTTAATTGACCATAGAGTTGAGAGTCCATTTCTGGGGTCTCTATTCTGTTCCGTTAATCTGTGTCTGTTTTCATGCCAGTACCATACTGTCTTGATGATTAAAGCTTTGTAATACAGCTTGAAGTCCAGAATTGTGGTACCTCCAGCTTTGGTTTTCTTTTTCAACATTACCTTGCCTATTCGGGATCTTTTGTGGTTCCATGCAAATTTTAGGACTGTTTGTTCTAGCTCTCTGAAAAATGCTGGTGGTATTTTGATAGAGATTGCATTAAATGTGTATATTCCTTTGCGTAGCATGGATATTTTAACAGTACTTGTTCTTCCAACCCATAGGCATGGGGGCATGGAATGTTTTTCCATTTCTTTGTGTCGTCTTCAATTTCTTTCATAAGTGTTCTATAGTTTTCAGAGTACAGATTCTTTACCTCTTTGGTTAGGTTTATTCCTAGGTATCTTATAGTTTTGGCTGCAATTGTAAATGGGATCGACTCCTTAATTTGTCTCTCTTCTGTCTTGTTGGTGTATAGGAATGCCACTGATTTCTGTGCATTGATTTTATATCCTGAAACTTTGCTGAATTCTTGTATCAAATCTAGCAAATTTTTGATGGAGTCTTTTGGCTTTTCTACAAAGCATATCATCATGTCATCTGCAAAGAGTGAAAGTTTGACTTCTTTTTTTGCCAATTTTATTTCTTTTTGTTGTCTGAATGCTGAGGCTAGGTCTTCCAGTACTATGTTGAATAACAATGGTGAGAGTAGACATCCCTGTCTTATTCCTTACTGTAGCAAAAAAACTCTGTTTTTCCCTGTTGAGGATGATATTAGCTGTGTGTCTTTTGTATATGGCTTTTATGATGTTGATACAGCTTTTATGATGTTGAGATATTGTTCCCTCTATCCCTACATGGTGGAAGGTTTTTATCAAGAAAGGATGCTGTATTCTGTCAAATGCTTTTTCTGCATCTATTGAGAGGATCATATGGTTGTTGTTCTTTCTTTTATTAATGTGATGTATCACATTGATTGATTTGTGGATGTTGAACCACCCCCACAGCCCAGGAATAAATCCCACTTTGTCCTGGTGAATAATCTTTTTAATGTACTGTTGCATCCTGTCAGCTAGTATCTTGGTGAGAGTTTTTGCATCCATGTTCATCAGGGATATTGGTCTGTAATTCTTTTTAGTGGGGTCTTTGTGTCTGTCTTGAGGATCAAGGTGATGTTGGAAATTTTCCTTCCATTTCTGTTTGGAACATTTTCAGAAGAATGGGTATTAATTCTTCATTAAATGTTTGGTAGAATTCCCCTGGAAAACCATCCAGCCCTGGACTTTTGCTTTTTGGGAGATTTTTGATTACTGATTCAATTTCTTTGCTGGTTATGGGTCTGTTCAAACTTTCAATTTCTTCTTGTTACAGTTTTGGTAGTTCATATGTTTCTAAGAATTTACCTATTTCGAGATTGCCTTATTTGTTGGCATATAATTTTTCATAATATTTTCTACAATTGTTTGCATTTCTGTGGTGTTTGTTGTGATCTCTCCTCTTTCATTCATGATTTTATTTCTTTGGTCCTTTCTCTTTTCTTTTTGATAAGTCTGATTAGGGGTTTATAAATCTTATTAATTCTTCCAAAGAACCAGCTCTTCGTTTTGTTGATCTGTTCTACTGCTTGTTTTTTTTTTTTTAATTTCTGTGTTATTGATTTCTGCTCTAATCTTTATTATTTTTCTTCTCCTGCTGGACTTAGGCTTTATTTGCTGTCTTTTTCCAGCTCCTTTAGGTGTAAGTTTAGGTGGTATATATGAGACTTTTCTTGCTTCTTGGGGTAGGCCTGTATTGCAGTATACTTCCGTCTTAAGACTGCCTTTGCTACATCCCAAAGGTTTTAGACTGTCATGTTATCATTTTAATTTGCTTCCATGTGTTTTTTTTAATTCTTCTTTAATTTCCTGGTTTAACCATTCATTCTTTAGTAGGATGTTCTTTAACCTCCATGTATTTGTGATCTTTCCAAATTTTTTCTTGTGGTGGACTTCAAGTTTCATAGCAGTGTGGTTAGAAAAGATGCATGGTATGAGCTCAATCTTTTTGTACTTCCTGAGGACTGATTTGTGACCCAGTATGTGATCTATTCTGGAGAATGTTCCATGTGCACTTGAAAAGAATGTGTATTCTGCCGCTTTAGGATGAAATGTTCTAAATATATCTGTTAAGTCCATCTGGTTCAGTGTGTCATTCAAAGCCACTGTTTCCTTGTTGATTTTAGATATCTGTCCACTGCTGTGAGTGGGGTGTTACAGTCCCTTACTATTATTGCATTATTATCAATGAGTTTCCTTATGTTTGTTATTAATTGATGTATATATTTGGGTGCTCCCAAGTTAGGGGCATAAGTATTTACAATTGTTGGGCGCCTGGGTGGCTCAGTTGGTTAAGCAACTGCCTTCGGCTCAGGTCATGATCCTGGAGTCCCAGGATCGAGTCCCGCATCGGGCTCC